TTTTGCTAGTTTATCCCACGTTTGTATACTGATAAGGTCACAAATCACACACAGAGAAATAATTAGATCACAGGGTATAAAATTATGATTTACTTTTCCATTCTCCTCATACTTGTTGCACTGGCTAAAGTTGTCTCTCTCTCTCTTTGTCTCTATTTATATACATATATATTTAAATTTATGAATTCTAAATTCATGCTGTTTTTCTGTTTCTGTCTATAAAGCAAAAGTAACTGCATTTAGGACTTCATAGTACTTCTAGGCTATGTCTCCCTTGATTCAGTTAGTCATTATTCTCTGATTTATTTTCATACAACAATATTTGCCAAATTTGCTCTCCTAATCAAGAATAATAAACAGTTATTTTATAATGATTAAGCCCTCTTCTCTCATGGGTCTTAAAAGGAAATAAGTCAATGATCAGTAATTCCACAATCCTGATGATGTGGCCACGGGGAAGCAAGCAGTGGGAAGCTGGTCTTGAACTGGCGCACAGAGCTGCAAAAGGGAGCAATGTGTGGACACTGTAAAGGGCCATGTGGTTGGCACACTATTCTTTTCCTCAGACTGTGCACCATGAGCGCTGTTCTGAGATAGCCAAGCCATGGTTCCAGAAGAGCCATTATAATTACATCTAACCCCAGCCACAGGTGTCCCATGGGTGACATCTCAGAATATAATCAGTAGTGGGAGAATAGGAGGCACTAAATACTTTATACATTACACTCAACGAGACAGCTGTGTTTCATTTTCCATTATTGGTGTTTGCTGTTCTATACAGATCATATCTGCAAAGAAGATGGGGATGGGGGTTGATACAGGAGATCTTTAATTCCTCTTTGTAACACTCACATTTTGCTTATACACTCAACTGAGATAAATGCTCTTACACACAGCCTGTAAGCTCCAGTGTGCTATACATACTTCGTCGGGGGTCCATAGTGACAGTGACTCAAACAGGAGAATTGACAGAACTTTGTCACCTTTTCTTAAGAAGAATGGTGTGTTTTCCCCCCCTGAAGAATCAGCTGTAGCCTTTGTGTCCCTGATCCCAGGATGAAACAGCCACTGAAGAACTTTGCACTATGCCTGAAAGCCTTCACGGACCTCACCTGCCCTTGCAGCCTCTTCCCCTACAGCACCAAGTCCAAGGACATGAGCTGCTTTTCTTTATCAACAAAGTACAAGAGTACACACTGAATATTAGGAATGCCAAGGTCACTTCTGAGCCTTTTCCCCACACCCATCTCTTTAGGCCCCACACCAGGTCTGTGCCGACTGGCAGTGTGTTTCAGGATGGCTGGGAGTGTCATGGAGAGAAAGGGTGAGAAAGGGGTACTCTGTGGGGTATAGGAAGGATTATCCTGGGACAAAATAATTTGGGGATCATTTTGATGCAAAACAATATTTTACTGGGGAGATATGGGATGTGTCCTTGTGTGGTCATGTGTTCTACTTAAAGGAGATGTGTGTGCCTCATGTTACAGTGGCAACCTCCTGGCAGACTCTGACTTAGAAAGATAATGACTCAGTGGTGACTAAGCCCAAGGTGTGGGCTTATGCCTACCTCTACAGGTATGATTCATATTTCGTGATAATTACTCACATTCTCTTTGAAAGTAAATGCATTGTATACTTTTTTCTGGCTCTGTTAAGATGGTGTAATCTACATAAAAAAACACACAAGACTTAAGTAGGTCTTTAATATTCATTCTGTATTTTTGCAAATATTACTTTGTGTGAATCACTCCATAATTTTCTGCAGTATAAACTATAGGAACTCAGGGGAACACATTGCTTTCCATATGCGTGCCAATCTTATAAAGCCCTGTACATCTGTGGGTGGTTATATTGTAAAAATTCAACAATCTATAAAAATGACATCAGTGTTGGGGGAGGCTTTCAGGAATAGGTTACTATCGTGAGCAGGATGCCCAAAGACAGAATCTCAAATGGGACTTTATCAAAAGTAGGGTTGTAAGAGTGTTTCCCTTGAACCTACCAAGAAAAGATTCAGAAGTATTCTTAAGGAACCTAGATAAAGTCAAAGAGAAACTTCGCTAAAAGTCCTCTTCACACTGCCTCTCAGCTTGTTTCTTGGAGATAGCTGTTCTGAGGAGGCAAAGCTTTGCTTTCAAGGCGATGCTCATGAACACAAATATTTCCCTTTCTGGCCCTTCTACCATCAGAAATCCCCAAGTCCCTTGTTTGACATGCCCTTTCAATGTATCTTTCAATGCAAGTTTTGGGTTTCTTTAACCAGGATGGATGGTGGATGGCAGATACAGATTTTTGGTGGTAGTTTTGTTAACATCAGCCCTTTATGTACTGGTAGTCATCTGGCAAGTTCTGCCTCATTTTACTCAAGGCCAAAGTACCCTAAAGTCTTAAATATTCTTTACAGATCAATACAATTTTCCCGTTTCGAAGGCAAAAGCAATAGCAATTGGGAGATTCTCAGACTTGTTTAGACAAGTGTTTAAACTCTGAATTTCAACACTCACAACTGTTCACAGAAAATGAGTCCATTGATGTAGAAATGAAGAGGGTAAAGGTTAGACACAGGTACCAGTTCGGGTTCCACATGGGGAAGAATGAAAGTACTAGGTTAACTTTAAAATATGACACGGCCAGAGTTGGTTGCAAGGTGGATTAATATATTTAATTTCAAAAAGTATCTTCAGATATCCCCACATTTGTGAACATAGAAGGGCATATGCATTACTCCATGGAAGGCATATATATTGCAGTGAAATTCAGTTGCTGGATGTGACAAATTACTTACTAACATGTAAACATAAAAGACTCACCAAGGAAACCGCTCTAATATGAGCTTCAACAAAATTGGTAACCTATGAGATTAATAAAAGGCTTAGGAGAGTGATGATAAAAAACAAAATTCAAGTCAGGGAAACTCTTGATTCTTTAACGCAGTCTTATCACCAAATTTTGCAACTCTTTTATTAGCAGAGGATTAATTTCTTTAAAAATGTTTCTATTGCAGTTGACATTCAATATTATGTAAGTTTCAGGTGTACAGCATAATGGTTAGACCTTTATATAACTTATGAACTGATTCCCTCTGATAAGGTTAATACATACCTGACACCATACACAGTTATTACAATATCATTGGCTATATTCTCTGTGCTGTACTTTCTATCTCAGTGACTCTTTTTCAATTGCCAGTTTTTACTTTTAATCTCTTCATCTTTTCACCCAGCCCTCCAACCCTCCTCCCATCTGGCAACCATTAGTTTGTTCTCTGTGCCTATGAGTTTCCCTTTTGTTTATTTATTATTAGATTTCACATATAAGTAAAATCATATGATATTTATCTTTCTCTCTCTGACTTATTTTACTTAGATAATACCCTCTAGATTCATCCATGTTGTTGCAAACAGTAAAATTTTATTCTTTTTATGGCTGAGTAATATTCCATTTTATTTATGTACAACTTCTTCTTTATCCATTCATCTACTGATGGGCACCTGGGTTGCTTTCATAGAGTGGCTGTTGTAAATACTGCTTAAATGAACATGGGGATGCATACATCTATTGGAATTAGTGTTTTGGATTTCTTCAGATAAATACCCAGAAATGTATTGTTGGGTTATGCAGTAGTTCTATTTTTAACTTTCAAGGAACCTCCAAACTGTTTTTCATAGAGGCTGTATCATTTGCAAATCCACCAACAGTGTGTGTGGGTTCCTTTTTATAGACATCCTGGCCAACACCTGTTGTTTGTTGATTTATTGATAATAACCATTATGATGTGTATGAGGTGATTTCTCATTGTGGTTTTAATTTACATTTCTCTGATGATTTTTTGTTTTATGTTGAGCATCTTTTCATATATTTATTGACCATCTGTATGTCTTCTTTGGAGAAATGCCTATTCAGGTCCTCTGCACATTTTTAAATTTTATTTATTTATTTTTGTTGTTATATAAGTTCTTTATAATTTTGGATTTTCATCCCATCAGATGTATCACTGGCAAATATTTTTTTCCATTAGGTAAGCTGTCTTTTCATTTTGTTGATGATTTTCTTTGCTATACAAAAACTTTTTAGTTTGATGTATTTTCATGTGTTTATTATTATTTTTGTGTGTTTCCCTTGTCTGAGGAGACACATCCAAAAATATCGTACTGGGAGCAATGCCAGAGAGTTTACTACTTTCTTCTAGATGTTTTAAGGTTTGGGGTCATACATTTGAGTCTTTAATGCATTTTGAGTTAATTCTGGTAATGGTGTAAGAAAGTGGTCTAACAGAATACAAAATTATTATTCAGAAATCTATTGCATTTTATGCACCAATAACAAACTCTCAGAAAGAGAAAATACTAAAACAATCCCTTTTCCAATTACACCTAAAAAATACCTAGGAATACATCTAACCAAGAAAGAAAAAACCTGTATTTGGACTGTTTTAAGACACTGAAGAAAGAAATTGAAGAAGACACAAATAAATGGGAGCATATACAATGTCATGGATAGAAAGAATTAACATCGTTAAAATGTCCCTATTACCAAAAGCAACCTGTAGATTCAATGCAATTTCTATCAAAATGCAACTGGCATTTCTCACAGAACTAGAACAAATGATCCTAAAATTTATATGAAACCACAAAAGACCCTGAATAACTATAGCAATCTTGAGAAGGAAAAAAGTTGGAGATATATGACACTTCCTGATCTCAAATTACACCACAAGGCTATAGTAATAAAAACAGCATGGTAGTGGCCTAAAAATAAAACATCAATTAATGGAACATTATAGAGAGCCCAGAAAACAAACAAACAAACCACAAAACACACCCATGTGGTCAATTAATCTATGACAAAGGAAGCAAAGGATAAAGATAGTCTCTTCAGCAAATGGTGATGGAAAAACTGGACAGATAATGCAAAAAATATATTTCTTTAAAAGATCTAATTTTTTTTTATTTCAAAAATACCCAGAGTATGATAGGCTATATGTCCAACTATGTAAGATCCTAGGCAAGAGGCTTTTGGCGGATAGCACGGCGAAGGGCATCCTTGACGTCCTTGTTTCTCAGAGTGTACACCACGGGATTAAGGAGAGGAGTAAAAACGGTGTAGGTCACTGAGATCAGCTGGTCCTGATCTCTGGTGTTCTCTGACTCAGGCTTGAGGTAGGCAATGGAGGCACAGCCATAGTGGACAATGACCACAGTGAGGTGAGAGGCACAAGTTGCAAAAGCCTTCCTTTGGCCCTTAGTTGAGGCAATCTTGAGGATGGTGGAGATGATAAGGACGTAGGAGATAAAGACCAAACCCATGGGCACCACAATAACAAGTGAGCTGACAATGAAATTAATTATGTCATGTAGATTGGTGTCAGCACAGGAGAGTTTCATAACTGGGCGGATGTCACAGAAATAATGGGCCACCTCTTTATCACAAAAGGGCAGCCTGAACACAGCGAAAACCTGAATTATGGCCACAAGAAGCCCAATGCTGCAGGCCCCCCATACCAGCTGGGAACAAACCTTTTTGTTCATGATGACTGTGTACCTCAAGGGTTTGCAGATGGCCACATAACGATCATACCCCATTGCTGTGAGTAGAAAGCAGTTGTTGATGGCCAAAGTGATAAAAAAGAACATCTGGGTGCCACAACCAGCCAAGGAAATGGGTCGGCCTGGTTCTATGAGGCTGGAGAGCATTTGTGGCACAATGACCAACGTGTACATAGTTTCAGACGTTGAAAGCATACTAAGAAAGAAGTACATGGGGGTGTGAAGATGATGATCTATGCTGATAATTATCACAATGATGACATTGCCAGTCAGGGTTAAAACATACAAGGTGAGAAATACCACAAACAGAGTAAGCTTGTGTTCATGAAAGCTGGAAAAACCCTGGAAAAAGAATTCACTCACCACTGTGTGGTTCTGTCTCTTCATTGATAAATTCCACATCTAAAAACTGGAGACTTAGGCCAATCAGTCAGAATACAGCAGTGCACAGAGCTTTGAGCAGGAGAATTCTAGGAGAAGGAGATAGTAAGAATCTGCTCCTGGATGGATGCAAGGTAAATGGAGACGACTGTTAACTAATAGGTAAAGATAGGAAAACACAATCAGGAAATAATGTCATGTATGCAGATTTGTGTGTAAAGGTAAAGAAGAGTAAATAGGGATGGGATAAGACAGAAGGAAGGATAACTGGGGCAAGTTTAGATGAGATTTCCTGATGAGTTAGAACACAGGTGTTAGGGAAACACTGAGGCAAAAATAGTAGGAAAAGTCTAGTGACATTTAAAAAGAATTTTCTTTTGGATTATAGTTTCAGAGTTTTGTTTACCTAAAAACAAGTTTGCCAATCTTTTCTTCTTTGTTTAAAGCATAATTTTGACCTTCTTAAACATCTTTCTTTCTAAATTGCCAAACAGGAGAGAAGTATTTGCTTTTTCTTTTTTTGGTATGTGCCCCTAGCAGGAACCAAACCCAGAACTCTCTGGTCCACAGGCCGACGCTTTAACTGCTAAGCCAAACCAACCAGGGTGAGAAGTGTTTGCTTCCTCCCTCTACCACTTGTCTGCATCTTCCACAAACCTTTTTCCAAATCATTCAATGGCTTCAAACCTGAGTGCCCTCCCCACTAAAAAAAATTTATTGAAGTTTTTGGAGTGATATTGGTTAATAAAAGTATATAGGTTTCAGATGTACAATTCTATAGTACATCATCTGTATATTGTACTGTGTGTTCACCATCCCACTCAACTCTCCTCCCATCTCCATTTATCTCCCCTTTAACCTCTTCTACCTCCCTATATCCCCCTTTCACTCTGGTAACTACCATACTGCTGCCTGTGACTATGAGCTTGTTGTTGTTGTTGTTGTTGTTGTTGTTGTTGTTGAATCTCTTCCATTGGTTTCAAAAGAAGCATGTTTCTCTCCTTACTCAATACTTAATTCAAGTCTCCTTTTTCTCAGTCTTCTCAATAGTAAATACAACCTATCAATCCAAGTCCTTTTCAATTGTTAGTGTTGCTCTGTAACTAGTTTTGGTAAAATGTGATTTTCTTTGTGTTTTCTACCTTGTGCTTGCATGTGAATTTTCACAGGTAGTCAGACTCACTACTCTGAACTCTCCTTTCTAATTTCTTCAGAATTATAAGCTTAGTGTCTTTGGGAAAACTGGTTTGCACATCCCTCCATTTTCTATTTGAGGGGTAATTGGGGATCACAAAGTTCTCATTTAAAAGTATTTTTAAATAATAATGGTAACAACAACAAAAATAGTAGTCCCTTATTGCATGTTTTAGGTTATAAAAAGGTTTTACATATATTATTTAACAACATAACAGTCTCGTATTTTAGGTAATTATTATATCCATCTTACAGATGGAAAACCTAAGATATGTAGGATTTTGTGATTAGTCAAAAATTTAAAAGTCATAGATTCAATCTTTTAATTCTAAGGCCAGTGTGATTTGTCCTACACCAAAACAACCTGAGAACCATCTGATCCACAAAACATATATGACAAAATGTTTTGTTTTGGTTTGGTTTGGTTTGGTTTTTATTAATAGGAATTACTATATTATCCTTACCATGGGAGTGAGATTGCATTGAAGAAAAAATTGAAAAAAAATATGGAAAACTGGAACATTTTTAGGTTATCCAGATAAGTAGATAAAATATTAGCCTGTTAATTATAACACATGCCCATTCACTTTGGCTTTATATTTTCAATTCCAATTATTTAGTTTAAAGAAATAATCAGAGAAATGTATCAGGATGCTTGTGTAAGAGGTTTTCATGATAATATTTATAATAATAAAAACCAAAAAGAATGTAAATGGAAAAAGGAATGGTTAAATAAATTATATCATATTCATGTGATGGGAACTGTGCAGCATACATACATAGTTACATAGTTACATAGGTAGATACAAAGATTCATAGCTAGACCATAATTTTGTACCAAGAAAGCAAAGAAAAGAAAAAAGAAGGAAAAAATAAATGAAGGTAATGCATTCAATGGCACACCTTCCATTAAAAAAGGGCTGGAAAGAAATATACCAAAATGCTAAAAACAATTTTTTTCTGAGTAGTAAATAAAGAATCTTAAATTATCTTTCTCTTTATGCTCTCTATATAATACAGTTTTCTTCTTAATTATCTTCTTCTAAACACTAAGCCAAATTCTATAATTCTGCTCCAAAGGCAAACTCTATAATGATGCAGAGACCACTGAGGAGAAAGGGTGAAAGTCAGGGCTTAATTTACCTTTGAGAAGAGAAAGTTGACAGAACAGGCATTTTATACACATTTCAGCACCAAAGGACCACATCCAGAGGAAACTGACTTCATTTTTTAAAGAAAGATTGTGGTTGATAAAAAGAAAACTTTCTGAATAGTGCTGGAAGTAGAGGGTGGCAAGTAAGCTGGTCACCTTTGTTGCAAAATTTAAGGGAGCACCCAACAATACACTTAACAATAAAGATGAATGCCATTTAAATGAAAGATTTTAAAAATTAATGCAAACATCCATGATGAAAAAAATATTAAAATTTTAAATAATCACAGGGTCAATTCTATTACTACAGTGAGATGTAAGTGGTTGTATGGGGACAGTTTGGGAATTTCCTTACTAAAGATTTTAAGAACTAAAAATATAAAATATTTCAAAGTATAGAGAAAAATGTACAGTAAAATATGTATGTGTTTCATTTTCCTCAGGGATGTGTGGATAAGCTCATCTTTAACCATTCTTGTTTTACTGTGATTCATAATTTATTACTGAACAAAATAAAACTCAGATCTTATGTAAGTGGAAAATCAATCCTACCTACACTAAAAGGAATAGAAAAACAAAGCTGGGCTATAGAAGATAAAGGATTCAGTTGTGCTTGCACATTACTGCAATTACGTTTCCTCTCTCATCACCCCCTCAGGAAAACAATGACTCATCAAATGGCTAAGACCTGATGATAACACTAGGATTGTAATATGATCATGATCACTGAAACAAAATAGCAGCCTCCATCTCTAAAATCCATGCCATTGAGAAATGTAGCACTTTACATCATTTTCTGTTTCCTTAGATTCTGCATCTTTAGCCTAAAATATCTCTCCACACTAAAAAAACAAAAAAGTATTACCTTCTAGAGAAATTATTTTCCGCTTAGACCTGACAACCAATCTTGGGCAAGGGGTTAATCTTATCCATCTCCTTAATCAAATCTTTTCCGTTGGAAGCAAGCTGGAAAAACTCATGCTTTGTAACTTTAAGTTCTTTAATATAACTGAATCATAGAAAATTAGAGTTAGGAGGTAATTTTGAACGCCCAGCATCCTCACAAATAGTTCACTAACTTCTGCTTCACTGCTTCCAGTGATTGGAAATTCATTATTTTACAAGATAGCATTACCTCTTTCTCTCTTTCTCTCTTTCTCTTTCTTTCTTTCTTTCTTTCTTTCTTTCTTTCTTTCTTTCTTTCTTTCTTTCCTTCTTTTTCTTTCTTTTTTTTAAGATACTAAGTTTACTTTTAAAAATACAACTAGGCTTTTATGCTATAAAAATGCTTAAAGGAGGTGAGGGGTAAAGCCACCTGTAAAGCAGAGTACAAATGGAAAGGTTAGTTTTCTCCTTCTGTATTTTGCATTCTTTAGTCCAGATGTAAATATAATTCATGTTTGTCTTTAAAATTTATTCATTTAAATCTAGAAATGTTCTATGTACAGTTATGCAGATTTTCATATTATTTCAATCTTACACAAGTGAAATTATGTAGAATATACCAATTTACAAGTAGTTTTTTCATTTAATAATATATCATAAATGTTTTCCATAACAGTACTATACATCTATCTCACACTATTTTCAATGGTGCATAACATTCCATTTATAAATCCATATAGGTACACTGTTATTAATTCTATTTTTAATGGCCTTAATTCTTAGAAAATTTTACTTTATATTGATTCAATATCTGTCTCCCTGCAACCTTCCACCTCCCCACATTCTCCTACCTCCTATTTCCTTTTCAGCCAGAGGGTATTGAAAATATTTGAAGATCATTATCCTGTCTGCTAAATTTCATGTCCTTGAATCCATTACCATAGCAAGATGAGCATAAAGAAATATAATATCAATGGACATGAGAATCAATACAACCAAACAAATTCTGAACACTATATAGAGAAAGTAATACGATTTTGGAAAATATCCATGACATTCCATTTGCATTTAGTTCTGCCAACAGCAACTCACTGCTTCTGACCTTGGCAATAGGAAGGAGGGGTCACTTTCCAGGTAGTGATCCTTAAAAGAAATGGAAGGGGCTGAATCTATTCAGAGGAAGCCCATGAAAACACTGTGTGTGGAAGCCAAAACCCAGAAAGCAAGGAGAATTCAGCTCTCTCCAATATCAGAGAGAACTTCAAATTATTGCCAACTCCTTGAAACAGGGGCATTAGTTCCCTTGTCTGGGGAAGTGACCCGGGAAAATGCATTCTCTTAAACACCAGTTTTCAGGAGCTCTGGATATCTATTTTCCCCAAGAGGAGAAAATCCCTTTGCCTCAAGTATCCTGGGAACAGCCCTCTGAAAATCCCTCCAGGGTACTAAGAGGTAAGAATGCAAGAACCCTAGAGCTTGTCTCAAAGGCTTCATTAAGAACTTGGGCAGCAAATGAGAAAAAGACTGTCATTTATTCACTACTGGGAATTGTTGGAGTTTCAAAACCAACACTTCATTGAGTTTTAATCATTTAAAATTCTAGAAATACTTAGTAAGCTTACACAGAGAAAACCCCAAATTTTAGTTTTTTAGGATTAAAGAAACCAATTTCCTGAAACTTATTCAAATTAGATTGGGGCAACCTGACTGGGTAGCTCATTTGATTAGAGCATCATCCTAGACACTGAAAGGTTGCTGGTTCTATTCCCAGTCA